TGGACACCAAGTGAATGCTTGGACTTTGGACCTTTTTGACTTAAGTTTTCCAAGTGGAAGGTTATGAAGTGGGGTGAAATCCGCACAGAACTAGTTGATGCAGTCAGGTTTGTGTTTGATTGTCGCTGATCGCATATTGAATTTCCAGTGGCACCAGTGGTTTGGGTGTTCTGATGTGTTCTGGCCTTTAATGGCCGCCATGGCGGAAGTGTTTAAACATCCGTTCTCTGTTTGTACTTGCTGTGAATAGCTGTGACTTGTCGGGTTGCACACATTCAATTCATCAAGAAAAATCTACTGCGATACTTGCTGGTGGAAACATCACTGAGTTGAGCTGAAGAACTACTCCAACCTTGCGAAACTGGCGGAATCACGCGGAATCGTTGTTTGTTGCTGGATCCTGACATGAAGTCCTACCTTGAGCTATATAGAGCTGACATGAATCGCTGTATACCTACCAGATTCCGGGCGAGCCATTCATGCAAACCATGATCAACGGACCGAACCGACCGAGATCAACGGACCGAAGGATCAACAAGTGACCGGTGTTGACCTAAGCTGCTGGCGTGAAATGATTTTCATTAGGGGCTTGCGGTGAAATGGTTCTCGGACCTAGATCAACTTGGACCTAGAGTGGAACACCACCCCACAAGCCCTTCGACACGGGAAAGCTCTGTCTTTCCACCAGTGATAAACTGTGGGTGATGGAGTAAGAAATCATCCAGTTTCTATGTTACAAAGAAGATTTTATAATGATCAATGTCTCCTCAGGGAAAGAGTCTCACTTGTGACGCGGATTTCGGACTCGGATGTGATGCGGAGCTGTTGGCTCACTTGTGACGCGCCCGTGCTCACCTTTGGATCTGGTGTGCTGCTGGGGGGGGCACTGTGCCCCCCCCCAACCCCCCGCGCCACGAAATCTGCACTTCATCTCCGAAATCCGCGCCTGCCACGAAATCAATACATATTTTAAGGTGTGCCCGTGTGCCTGTGAGTAGTAGTAGTAGTAGTAGTAGTAGTAGTGCAAATGAGTCCGCTTTGGTGTCGCAAGTGAGTCTGTCCTGGGTACTGGGTAGGTTTTGGTGTCGCAAGTGAGTCAGTTTTGGTATCGCAAGTGAGACCCTTGCCTCTCTTCAGAACCCCCTGGCTTCGCCCTTCAGTCCCAGTGAACATCCAGTGAGTTTAATGAAGGAGACGATTCTTCCAAATGCCCAAGGGCCCCAGGATTTGAAGAAGACGATGTACAAATGTACTCAAAACATCGCCTGACTCCGGGATACCCCCATGGAGGCAACGACAACACTCCATTCGAAGCGTTTTGGCCCTTGGGGCTCTTCATGGGTTTCGAACTCTTCCAATGAGTTCACATGCCTCTTATGGCACCTAGCTGGGTCATGGGTTGTCCTTCCTGGCTTACCTGGGGGGTAGTGATCGACAATCATTGAAGAACATGGATGAACTGCTGCGCCACTTGGACGACCAAAACCTGCGTATGGCGGGTGGGAATATCATGGATGGATGATCAAGATTGATCATGTTATGCGTCCATCCTCCACAATTTCGATGCAGCATCATGCAGCATCTATCGTTCAAGGCTTCTCTTCACTCTTCACCCCTTGTTCCCCGTAGACAGAAAAGTGAAAGCCTCGGTTTAACCGGGAAGCATGGAATTGAGATGAATTAAGCCAGCAGAGATGAATTGAGTAAAGGACCTTGAGCCCAACCCCTCCCTTTCGTAACCCGTGCGCCTGCCAGAAGAAGCTTCTTGAAGGGAAGCTTTGTCCGGTCCTCCCCATCCCCATCCGGCCCTAAGAGCTCATCTTTCACCGTTTGGCAGAACACCACCACGAACGGCGAGCTTCGAGCTTCCAAGGTTTGCAAAAGGGTCAACATCCAAACACTGATGGACCCAAGGAAAGCTGTCTGCCAACCAAGGGTTCCTCCCAATTGAAGCAGCCAGTTGGTCGTTTCCTCAAGCAAAAGACGGTCGTTCGAAAGCAATTAGAAGGGCAAGTCCTTGATAAGGGATGATAAAGGGCAAGTCCTCAAGATCTTGTGTGTGACAGGACCCCCAACCTGTGGGTGGTTAATAAGTGGACCCCCGGGCCCTCAACAGACATATGGGGCACACAAGACATCCCTGGTGCGGGGTTCTGAATTTGACACTCGAAACAGCCACCACATTGCAAATGGACACATTGCCGACATTTGTTTCATGGAAAATCCGTCAGGGAGCTGGGTGTCTACGGTTTGTGAATCAGAACCAAGATCTCGTGGCATAACCTGATAGTACCTTGCTCCACAGCAAAACCTGATAGTTGCACCAACCCACACCATCTCTCTCTCTATATCTACAGAACTCCATTTCAAGGTCTACCCACAGAACATGCCAAACTGGAAACCACTCCATGAAGATCCATTATAGTATAACATATTATAACTATACCAACCTATCACCATCCTGGCATTGCAGCACGAGTTCTCGACCGGCTCCTGAATGGGCTCCACTGGCAGTTCCACCTTGGCAGGGAGATCCGATATCTCCCGATTCCGCGTCTGTTTCTTTTTGTTTTCCTCCTCCTCCTCCCCTCCTCTTCTTCTTCTTCTTATAGTCTTTTCTCCTTCTTCTTCTTTCTTATCGTTTCTTGCTCTTCTTTCTTCTTCTTCTTCTTCTTCTTTCGTTTTTTTGTAGTCTCGTAACCGTAACCATTCCTGTTGCCGTGATGATGGTCTTTTTGCAGCTGCTGTTGCAGCTGCGGTTGCTGCTGTTCGTTCTTGGTGCGTACCAGCTGTTGTTCTTCTCTATGGTCAGACTCGTGTGGAAAGGCAGACTGCTGCTCTGCTGGTCACCCAGGACTGAACTGCACATGACCGATGGCCAACAGCAAGTGGTGAAGCAGGCCAACACATGCAGCCAGCATGTGTCCTGGATGAGTATGATGCATCTTAACACTAAACAAAACACCAGAAGAAAACACACTCAACAAACTCTAAATGAATACGCAAGCACACAATACAATTAGATTAGATATGTTTTAAACAAGGGCACCGTGACCGCCATGCCTGTGACCGTGTTCGACTGAAACGTCCCATCTGACCGGCCTCGGGATCCTCCTCAGGGAGAAGAACCGACCTGAGCACCAGGTGTTGCGTCAGGCGTTCAAACGAACGGGGACGACCCCAAATCGGGGGTAATAGACATGGTATATAGTAACTAGCAAGAAAAAAGGAGTCGAAAAAAAGGAGGATGTCATATTGAATTATTCCAGAGTTTTGTCGTTGAACATAAAAAATAAGCCAATGGTCGGGTGTCCTCACTTGAGCAATAGTCCTTCACTCTTGCCCACAACTGACCTTGCACATCTATAAACTCTCACCAATGTTGGTGTGGATGGGACATTTACGGCACACATCGAAGGGTCATATTGTGTTTTCTCATGTTTGCTCCGAAACATCGACTTTTCTCGTTCTATCAAGCTCGTTCACTCCACTAAAGCAATTTCGGGTCAAGGCACTCCTGCGTTGCCATCAGGCTTCTAGGCGAAACACTAGCGCTTCGGGGTCAAGTTGAAAGCGACAGCTGCAGCTTCACAGAATTGGTTCGCAGTACCGTGCAAGATATCTGCGCGTTTTTTCTCCAGCATCACACCTCAAATGGAGACAATATGAGAGAATTGCATTCCTTGACTTCATAGATGCTCATAGGAGACGATTGTTGGGGCGTTGGCATGAATTCAGCTAACAGGGGCATCTAATGACGCCGCTTTTTGCTTGCCCAAAGACATAACATCCAAAACAGGCTTGAGTTGGTCGTCACCGAACCCTGATATGCCCCACTGCGTCACTTTACGTCTATACATGTCTATACATAATTCTACTATATACGTCAATTCAATCTTCAATATGGTCCATGTGTTCGGAGACGTGTGATGATGCGAGGAAATCATGAGAATGCATCACCATTGCCTCGGTCCCTTCTCTAATTTTCAAGTCAATGGCGCACCCAAGGCTCCAAGCTTCTGAGAACGCACTTGAAGACTCAGTCTTATTCCGACACAACGTGTCGCTCCAAAGGGCTTCCTGATGCTTCGTCCCCCCAGCCATCGGTGACAGTGACAGCAATGATGCGGGGGTCAATGACTTGAAGGAACGTAGCTGGTCAGTATAAAGGTGTTGTTGGCGCCACAACTGATTCTACTAGCCACGTCCCTTCGAGCCTTGGCCTTTTTACTTGGCGAGAGCGGATTCAACTGATGCGTCGTGCATGGGTGGCGCGCGGTCGACCCGTGCGAGAGCAAAGACGTCCGATTGCGGAGTCGTCTCGACTTGCACGAGTGAATGGGAAGACTTTGTGGGAGTGAAGGAAACCTTCTGTTGATGAATGCCGAATGCCTGGTTGTGGTGCTGGCACTGGTGCTGGCATAGCCAGCATAGCCACAAGGCCCCTAATCACCCCACAAACAAATCCCATGCATGAAAGCTGAAAAAGGGAATCGGTGTTGTGCCACCAGTTCCACTGCTTTCTGAGGGGTCATGGGAAATCTTGCCCTCTGCAAAGACCAGAAGTCTGGTTACATACACCAATTGACTCGTCATGCACATCATGGAATCAGCCCTTCCCAAGCATCAACATACTCATAAACATACATAATTAGCATATTTATGGCTTCTTTCACAACTTGCTTCACAGAGGGACAGCTTGCTTCCCATAAACATAAGCTTGCTGCCTCTTCGGCAGGTGACACGTCTCCACATGACCATGCATGATATTGCGTGCTTTGTCAATACCTCCACTGTACAACTGCTATTTCTGCTTTTCTGATGGCCTCCAAATTGGTATAGGGACAATGGCAACGAATTTCGTAAGTAACAGCATGAACCGAGTTTAGACTGGTGCTTGGTGCTTTGGATAGAGGTTGAGGGGTGAAGCTTTGTATGCTCGCCTTTCGCAGCAGTGATTCGAGGTGGGATAATAAAATACTATTTTAGTTCATCATGGTGTGCTTTTCTTTGGAGTCCACCTGAACATCTCACATCCGGAATATCGCCATGACGACCACGACGGTCAGCAAGAGCCTGTGGAACTGGCAGGAAAAGAAACGCGATGGTCAGCCCAAAGCTGCAGATTCAACATGGTTCAAAAGCATTATTCGGCAATGAGGACCGTGACTAGAACCCACCCATTCTGAACCTGTAGACTAGAAGAAGAGTCGAGAAACAAACAGTGTCGGAAGGAGAGGCAACTACACACCCAAAGTAAGCATTGATACATGAGTTTGATGCATGTGACTGCATGTGTATATATATAATTATATATATATATACGTATAGCCTATTTATAATCTCCAAAATGTTTGGCCAAAAACAACTGGTCTCTCCCTCTTTTTTTTTTCGGTGGTCCAAAAAGGTGGTCCGTCTGGAATCACATGCAACAAGGGCATCGACTCTGCACCGTGACAACAAGACATACGACTAGTAACAAGAAGCTACGTTCGGGCCTTACTAGGCCTTACTAGGAGCAAAGGACGCTACGTTCGGGGCGACTGCCCCCAAACTCTCACTCTTATACGATTAGAAACCTCCATCGGAGTCCAAGCAGGAGCACCCTTGGAGATGGTGGATCAGGTGAGACGGTGGATCAGATGTTGTTTCGTGAAGGATCTGCCTGGAGAATCCTCTTCCAGACACCCAGATCTGGGTGTGCACTCTCTTCTCAAGCCGAACGTCTGCGCATCTGGGTCACCCTGCTGCAAGCGGAACGGGGTTCCGGCTGCGCTGGTCTGAGCCTGTGTTGCCTCAGCCGACATTCGCCGAGTGGTCTTGGAACAACCGGAAGATGGACCTGCTTCCCTTCCAACTAAGTGGAATCTATGATCTTTTTCAAGATCAGAAGTGAAGGTTCCTGGGTGCAGTTTCAGGCAAAGTATCCAAAGGCACAAGTAGGTTCAACTGGTGGCCACTGGCCACATTGGCCGGGGACCCAGCCGAGCCATCTTGTGTCTGACACCCCCTTGATCGAAGTGGAAAACGACCCTTGTGTACCGGAACTCAGCATTCCCACAGGGCCATTTCCACATCCATGTCTTATCAACTCATTTGGATAGGTAATATATGGATGGCGTGCCTCTTATCATGCCACGGCCTCAAAAGAAGGCACTTGCACCCGCCGTGCCTCCGCCGTGCCCCGGCGTCGTTGAGCTTCCCCGCCACATTGATGTCAAAGGGCGAGGCCTGGCCCTCGTAGTAGCCTGCCACCGGTGAGAGTGGCGGCTGGGAGAAAGACAAGGACTCAGACCAACCCCTTTGTTTTGGCAGACCAGTCCCCCCCAAAATGGAAATGTCTGTTCAATGGTTGATGATGTCTACAATCACAGTAACTTTATGTAAACAAAAGGTTTAAGAAGTCTATATAAAGGGTGATAAGTCAATATTATTGACTCTTCTATCTTGTTTGGGGTCACTATATATAGGTCCATGGTTTCCCGCATGAAGGCATGATGCTGGGTCAGCTGTTTTGTCGGCATGCTTTTCAAGGAGTCGAACATATCTTTGGACCAACCCGAACACATCTGGCAACTATTCATAGTCTTCATAGTGATGGGAAACATATTCATAGTCTTTCCGTGGACAAGACCTTGATCACCTGCCAGATCCTTGAACTAGTCTTCATGGCCCGACCGCACGGCACAGCCGCCGCAAGCTCGCTCGGCTTCCGCCTGTCAAGACATGCACAAACTCCACCGTGATGTCCTTCATGGCGAAGATGGACCAGGTGTTGTCGTGCGGGTAGACAGCTGGGCAGGCCGTCAGGACGCTACTAGGAACAAGTGCATCGCTACTAGGAACAAGTGCCTTACTAGTAGTAACAAGGAGCTAGTAGAAACAAGTGCCACGCTAGTAGTAACAAGTGCCTTACTAGTAGTAACAAGTGCATCGCTACTAGGAGCAAGAAGCTAGTAGTAACAAGTGCCTTGCTACTAGGACCGGAGAGGAGGTGGAGCGTCGGGAGTGAATGGGAGCAGCGGGGGACCGTACAGGTCTACTTGAGCCTAACAGGATCAATGAGAAATAGCTGGTGGGTACTTTTCCCATGCATGTTTCTGTATTTCTTGATTTCCCCATTGGGGGATATCAAGGCCAGCAAATGGAATCCATGAAACCGTTGGTCTCTTTCAAAAACCTCCTCCTGCTTCTTCACCATTGGGCTCTCACTGACCCGAAAGAAACCCACGAAACAACGTAGGGTCATGTGTCTGGCTGGTGCAACAAAGCACGAACCAAACCTAGACCGGTAGACCATTCGTGTCATACACACAAACTGTCGCACTTCCAACTCTTCCAAGAAATTGTATGTATATGCAGGTATGTATTTCCCAATGGGTCCTGCAAGGACCTTGAGAAGAACCCATTGACCCATCAGTTATATAAATAACCCCAGTTGTTTGGGAGGCTCCCCTCATGTCGCTCATGATGAGACAAGTCGATCAATAACAAGTCCTCTTTCGTCGCCATGGATGTTCACATTCACCTTCACTTCCTGCACTCAGTCGGGAAACGCGCCCGCGCGCTACACCTGACACCTGCGGCGTGACTGAGGCTGAGATCCCCAACTGGGATTGCTGACTTCGAAGCGGATGTTGTAGGTGCCGATCTCCTCAGTCAAACCAGAACTTGAGACGTTCTTTCCTCAGTATTTGTACCCAAGGTCCATGTCTCAGCCCTGCTTTTTTCACCAATGGTGTCTGACAGCTTCTTCGCACCTGGCAGGACCCGAGGATTGAAGTGGCTCTGGCAGTGCTCTGGCACCTGTTTTGGGATTTGTTGATGCACGGGTTGCTGGTGTAGGACTCAACCAAGGCTCATGGAGTTGCCATGAATCACTTAGGTTCGTTCTTGGCGCACCTTCAGGGCCATGGCCCCACACCTTCGACAATAGGAGGCTTTAAACTTCAAGGCGCTGACTCTTAACGGTCAGTTTCTGTGACTCTCGGCTTGAGACACATTCTCCAGCCTTAAGTTTCACTTGTGCACCATGGGACCATGGGTGGCTGAGGTGGCCAAAAAACTGCAACCACAACCTGGGCTGTGCTGAGTCTGGTTGACTTTTGTCCAATCCGCAAAACCAGTTTCTCTGAGCGCCGGTCCACCAGCGACTGCTCATCCAAGAACAAAGACCTGGGCGGATGTGTGCTTGACTGATGAACAATCGACCAATCTGAAGGTAGTGAGCAATCGACTAATTCGATTGGATCCAATTGGTTGGTGACAATAAATCGTGCCAGCAGCAGCATGATAGCCATCCTATGCCATTCTACTTGCAAATGGTCTCCTGAACATTCCTGAACTATATTAAATATATCAGACGGTCGAACATTGCAAAATGTGATCCAATCTTGACAAAGCATCTGTGATTCTATCCTCAGAAATACACTAATCATTCCCCCAGCAACTCGATGGACTCATCTGTGACGCCCACATTCCGCCATCTCGAATCAGACCGAGTGGCAGCAAATCCCCAGCCACTTGCGTGGGGATGGCCAAGCGCAAAGGCAAAGCTTTGGGTAGCACCGAGACCTGCCCCCCGAACCGTTCCCCCGAACCGAGACCTGCCACCTACACCACACGGAGCATCCAAATCAGAGAAAGAGACTTGAAGTCGGAGCCCACCAGTTTGGTGTTGGATGGTGTTGGTGTATGGGTGTCTAATTATATGATTTTCCCATCTACAGATCCTAACGATGTTTCGATTTCGTAAGGTTCAGTCCGGCGAGCGGACAGCAGTTCGTTTGGACCCGGCAGGGAACCGAGCGAGAAAGTGACTCCCTCCAAACGGATCGGCTGTGTGCAACTAAGCTTAAGGAGAACAAATGTCTCTCTCTCTCTCTATCTATATATATATACACACCTCATGATTGTCATCTGTTAAAACAGATTTGGCAGGTTTGTCATGATGCTGCACATCATTGTATACTCTGGGTTCATTTTGGTTGTGGTTCAAAGCCCTTTCCCCAGACAACTCTCAGAAACATGAGGCAAGAATGCTCAAACCTTTGCAGCATTCACCTACTAACAGGTGCCATGAAAAAATGGGGTGCCTCCACCCTACTCTGCCCAGCATGTCACCTATATATATATATATATAATATATATACAGTATATACACTCCACCCCGATTCACACAGCCTTAGCGGGATCTTCATTGAACATGATGCCCTCAGGCCTCAGCCGGCGCGCGGCCGAGAAAAGCGGAAAAAGTCACCAGTCGTTGGTTGGGAAGATTCCAAGAGACCTTTGTTGGTACCCAATGTGAGTCGCGTTTGTTCGTCTCATTTGCTGATCCCCACAATGTCACGTTTGTAATTGTTGGTGCTGCCATGCGAAACTCAGGTGTGGTGCAATCCTACTAGTTCACAGTGTCATTTTCCAAACAGCATCATTTGTAATCACTACAGTAGTATGAATCGCTAAGCAGTTAGCACTGTACATACTCCTGCGCAGTACCGACAACACGATAGATGTTGCACTTGCATACCTACAAGGGGTAAAACCCTGCCCACTCCAAATGGTGCACAAACCCAGCCATGGTTTGTCACATTGGATGGCCCTTGGAACTTGGGATTGGGGTAACTTGCACAACCCTCCCAGTTCCTGGAACAATCTTGAATAGGTTGCAGAGTTCTAGCGGGATATTTGTGTTTGTTTAGTGGGATATGTTTTTTTATGGCTTCAGTCTTCTGTAGTTTTAAAGAGTGTCTAATCAATTCTAATTGAGGTATCCATTGTTTCAGTGGTATTTTTTTTGGGAGGCTTTAGTCTTTTGTAGTTTTCATGTGTTCTTAGTTGATTCTGATTGATGTTCAACTAGTTTTGATCGATTGTGTTAGTATGATATTTTTGTTGGTTTTAGTCTTCTGTACTTTTGATGAATTTAGTAAAGTCTAATTGATTTTTGAATTATTTTTAAATATGTGTTCTTTTAACAATTCCTTTTACATGTCCTTGTAGTCTTTTTGCTACATTTCCTTATAATGTATCTTTTCAATGGAAATGTCCTTTTTAGAATTATTTTTAAATTTCCTGTTCATGTCCCTTCTAAATGTCTTGCTTATTCATTCTAACGTGTTTTTGTGAAATGTCCTTATAGTATTGTTTGCCTTTTAATTTTAAAATATACCGTGACATTTTTGCTAAAGTGCCTGCTTGAAATGTCCCTTCAAATGTCCTTTCAATTTCCTTTCGAATTTCCCTTCCAAATGTCTTATGTCCTTTGATAGTTCTTTATTTGTCGTTCGGAATTTCCTTTTAACATGTTGTTGTAATTTTCCTCTTCATGTTTTCCCTGTTTTTTCTTAAACTGTCCTTATAAATATCCTTCTACATTTGCTTGAGTTCCCCTTTAAATTTCCTTTAAGCAATCCTTTGCTATTTCATGCTATTTCCTTGTCACTGTCCTTTCAAATGTCCTTTTTAATGTCCTTTTCAAAGGCTGCGGCATGTGGACGCTTGAGTGAGATCTAGATTGCTATACCCGAAACTATTTCTACGCTTAAAACTTAAAAGCGGGAGGGGGCGCGGGGAGGGCGCAGCGCCTCCCCCGCAATGCAAAGCTAGTAACAACAGCAGTCTGACCAGTTCACAACCATGGCACAGTTGGTTGGTTTGTGTTGCTGTAACTGGGCACGACCAAAGAACAGATGTCACGGAGTTCCCCCAATGAATCTTCCTTTGAGAACTGCAATGGTCTCTGCGCTGCGTATCTGGGCAATGTCTTGCAACTGCCGTCCTTTCTTCCTTCCTTCCTTCCTTCCTCCCGCCAGCTAAGCCTTTAAACATAATATCCCACTAAAACAACAAAACATCCCGCTAAAATATACCCCCCATTTTGAATTAAAAAGAAACTGGATCGCACATGATTGTCACTGTCTCTCTCGAGAAACCACGGTGTTTCTCAGCTTGAATCGACACCTTTTCACCCGTTCAAACCACAACGCTCATGCGCCACACAATTCGCACGGAGGCCCCGACGCTCTGACCACGAACCTTTGCAAAGTCCCGGAGGGGATCTCGTGCAAAACCCGCAGCTGGATCAAGACCTGCAGCAGCAACAGGTTGATGATTATACCAAACTGGGCCATACTGCAGTCTGGAGGCAGGATTTCCTATGACAAAACGCATTCAACATGCGCTGGAATTTCACAACCTGTTCTAATAATTCTAATGCAAATTCCTTCCCCTGTTGGGTGGTCGGAGAGGTACCTGCAAACGGAATCAAAGAGAAACGTCGCCTGGACAATGCGTGTAGCTGTGCACTGTGATCTTTTTGCAGTCCAATGCAGGATCTTTTACTTTCGAGGAACCTTCATCGAAACAACACGAAAACATCACAAACTTCACAAACATCCTTCAAAACATCATCCCCGTCGCCCGTTCAGTCCGGAGATGGCCCCAGCAGTCCGTCTCCCCGTCGGCTTTCAACGGTTCCAATCCAAACATCGCCTCCCAATAGACCGACCCCATCTTCGAACTGAATGTCTTCATAACGGTCCCTGGTTTGAGGCGCCAACGATCGTCAGCACTCGGGGGTCGGAGTTGGTCCAGCCTCACGAGATGGAAGGTCCGGACAGGCTTGTCCTATCTTTTGAAGCTCATGCCATCAAACACAAAGAAAGAGTTGGAATGGGTGAGAATGGGCATTCCCATGTGGTCTTTCTTTTTCCACATGTACTTCTGACCTACTCTTCTAAGGGTCTGCGCAAAGTAGTCGCAAGCGACATTAGCACGTGGAGATAATTTGACATGTGTTTTTTTTGGCAGTTATACTGTGAAAGCGAGGTTTCGACGTTACGGAACGCCTTTTTCCCTTGAGCCAAAGCACGTCAAGAGTCACGTGTCTGCAGTACCCTAGCGGAGTATATATGGGCTGTACATACAAACACACCTCCTCTTGCAAAGCACTGTACTGCTGCGCAAGCATAAAAGTAAACATGTGAAACTCTTCGCTGCTTAGCCACTTTCAGTTGTGGTAGTGGAGCTTGGCCAGGGACCTTACTCCAAAACATCTAACTGTCCTTTGCTTCGCTTGCTGAGGAATGCATACTGCAGGTCCTCCATGGTTTTGCGAAGCTGCACCCCAGGAACCGATTTGGTCAAAACATCGGCTTTGTTCTTGAGACCTGGAACGTGGTGCACTTTCAAGTGGCCTTCGGCGACCCTTTCTTGCAACCATAGGTAGCGAGTTTGGATGTGTCTGGCTTTACCCAAACCCACTCTATTCACAGTTCCTTTGGCTGCATTGGAATCGCCCTCGATGGTGACTCCCAAATCCAAACCAAGGTCTGCGCATAGGCTTTGGAGGCCTAAGCCCACAGATCCTCCTTTCACAAGTGCGTAGTATTCACTCTCACCTGTAGAAAGGGCTACAGTGGATTGGATGTTACTACTGTGTTTCAACACGTGCATGCCGTACATAGCAACCATGCCAGTCGTGCTTTTGCGCGTCACAGCGTCACCACCATGGTCGGCATCGACCTGCACCCTCAGCCTTGAGGGTATCTGCTGCGAACCAAAACATTGCCCAACATCAGGGTATTTCTTCAAGTACCTGATGAGACGCTTCAAGTCAGCAAGTTTGGCTTCTGTTGGTGATACCATACCTCGAGCAAGGTTCTTGACTGCGTGCCCAATATCGAGTCGATCTTGGGACAAGTACGCAGCACGCATCGTTGCTGAACGATACTTCGATGCCTCGCTCTTATCAAGCAGCGGACTGCGGCTTTCCAGCATCTGCTGATCTGCCGACTTCTTGACATCTGGTGATTCTACACCATTTGCCTTCTCCAGACCCAATGTCTGGATCAAAAGATCAACATGTCTCCGATCGGCTTCGATCACAATTGATCCTTTGCCGTTCTTCTTTTCGACTCGGATTAACCGATTCAGAAAATGAGCTTCTGTTCGGTCTCCATCCTCGTCTCCAAGAATTCCGAGACATTTCAGCTCATAGGCATCTTTGAGGACTTGGCTAAGCTTCTCCAAGTGTTGGGCGTCTCCAAGTGCTAGGAAGTCATCTCCATGCACCATCACTCTGACGTCCCAAGCTTCTTGGTAGAAGACTGACGCATTTGACAAGCCTCTGCGGAAACCAGCCTTCTGCAGAGTCTCTGTGTAGTGCGTCTGCCAGATATTTGGAGCATCCTGTGTTCCATACATCGACTTCACGAGAAGTCCACAGGTTTGTCCATCTTTACTGGCTTCGTCCTCAGGCGGCAGCTCTATGTAGATCTTTCTCTTTGGAGTTCCATAAAAGTGTGCTCGTGAGATGTCCCACAAGCCCAGCTTCAGCGGCTGGTTGTGGCAGGACTTTCTCTTTGTTGCCCACAACGAGCACAGCAGTCTCATCGCCTCCAATGGGGGCGTGCTGCTGAAAAGCAAGTTGGCTGGCAATTGTTCTTCTTTGGTCTTTCTTGCCTTTATCTCACGCACAACTAATCGGCTCCTATAGTTTGGGTTTGTTGGATCTCCCTTGTTGGTGTCCAACCATCTGACTGGAATCGGGGGCTTCCCCGTTTCCTCAAAACATTCGGCTCTCGGCCGGGTCACATAAACACCATGCTTTTCTTTCAAATAATTCATTTCAAGGCGTCTTGCCTCTTTCACTTTCTCGGCTGGCAAAATGCCGCCGTTCACATCATCCATGTAAATCTCTTCGAGCTCAGGTTCCATCAGAGGCATCTCTGGAACTGGGCCTGCTGCAAACAAATCAAAGGTGTTCAACTCACCTTTCTCAGCTAGTGTGTCACGCAGGCTCCTCAGCACTGCCTTCACGAGCGGCGGTGGGTATACCGCTGCTTGCCTTGCAATGCCTCCGATCAGATGGATGTGTCGGTGCCATGGTCCTTTGCCCGAAACATTTCGTGCAGACTCCTTGCAAGATTCTGGCCAACCCTTCATCGTTGGTCATCCAACCGGTCTCCTTTCTCACATAGCCGGTGCCTTGGAGTCCTCTTCGGTCGGTGGCCATCATTTGCCACCTGCACATTGGACCCTTCACTATGAACACTCCATCTTCTTCTGCTAAGGCCGCAACTTTCTCGTCCTTCCAACTAGTCGCGGACCAAGGTGCCTCGTGGAGGAATTTTCTCCCTGAGCGATGCTGCTTGACATACAGCTCTACGCTCGTATGGAGATGGTGGACGGCTTCGTCCATCTTTCTCCTCCGGACATCCGGTGCCATGCTTCTCCAGTTGAGGTTCTGGAGCTGTGAAAACATATGGCACGGCGGCGAACCAGTCAAAAGGGCAGGTTCGTCCTTCTCAAGGATGTCGCGCACCTCTTGAACATCTTCAGGCTTGTTCAAGTCCCAGTATGTTCCATCACTTTTCATTTCATTCAAGTCGACCGCAAAACCCGGTCGCAACTTGTAGCGCTCTGCAAGCGCAGTGAACCTTTTGGGCGAGTAGATCTCCATGATATCTACTGCTGACATCTGCATACTCAAATGAGCGATGTCCCCGATCTCTTGCTCAGTGATCTCGATGCCATTCGCCTCATAGGTTCCTTGAATGATCTTCTTCAGATGCTGCTTTGCGATCTCCTTCTCTTTTACCAAGCTGGCTGCATCTGGCCTCCACCCTGCTGGTTGTGTTTCTGGAACATGTGAAAACTGAGACGTTTTCTTTGGACTCTCTTCCACTCTGGGATCAAGGTCTTCTACGGCGGTCTCTGCCAACCTCTTTGTTCCTTGTGCTGGGTTCGGCTTGACCTTTGCCCCAGGTGGATCTATCCGAAGCTCTCCTGTTCTCTTCTTGGGCTCTGTTGCTACCTTGGCTTTCGCCACTGGCTTCTTCTCTATCTCGGCTGCTTGCCTCTTCATCTCATATCTCTCTTTCGGGTCATCGGGATAGGTTTTCTCTCCCTCTGCTACTGCTGGCGGTGAGCTTCCCGACCCTGCGCTCTTTGCTTCTTCCTTCTTCTCTGGTTCCCCAGCCGCGTCTTCGGCTGGGATGTCGGAGTCCTTGTCGGCCACGACTTTCGGCTTCACAGTGTCAAGCTGTTGCCGTTCTTTCCTCTTCTTTGCATGGGCTTCAAGTCTCGCTTGCCCAGCTTCATCTTTTTCCATTGCTTCGGTGATCCTTGCTCTGCACGCCTCTGTGTGCGGCAAGGTCGTCCTCTTATCTTCCAAGATGCACCTGCATCCTGGGCAGCCTTCTGTGGCTCCATGCTTGTGCACATCCTCTCTCCTGATGTACACTCGCCTCTGCTGTGGTGGTGCCACTCGTTCCTCCTTGGGAGGTGGTACCACAAGACGCTCTTCGAGCATCAACTGCTCACCGGCAGGCCTTGCCGCGGAGTGCTCCCACGGTAAGCCCCGCAAAAGGTCCCAATCACTTGGGTCCCAGCGGTCGGCTGAACTCAGCCGCCGGATTCCTGTGCCTCTTCGCACACCGTTGGCCGTCATCACCAAAATGGATCCTGTTCGGCCATGGTGCCCTACATAGCGTCCTTCTTTCAGGATGCGGACTCCCTCGCCTACTTCTCTAAAGTATAGGCGTTCGCCAAAAGCTATGGCAGGTTTCCGCCATTGCTTTCCACATCTTCTGGCCTCAGGTGTTCTGCCGTCTTGGCCTTTCTTGTACCTGCTCAGCAGGTCTCCTGCCTGCCTTGGCAGCCATGCCAATGCAGGATCATCATCTTTGAGCTCTCTGCCGAGCTTCTCTTCCAACGCGCTGCGGAGGACTCGTACTTGACGTTTGACCTCCTTGCAGGCGTTCTCTGCCAGACCATTCGCCTGATGGTCTCCTACTGGCGACTCTTCCGAAACCCAGTCTATGCCGGTTTCTTTCGCCGCTGCCTCTTTCAAGGCTACCACGGATGGCTCGCCATCCGACTTGAGAACCACCTTGCGGTGTCCCAAGTTCTTCAGGAAGTTCGCCACGAACTTCACTGCATACGGCGTCGCTCCCTTCGAGTCCACGAAGGTCGCCGCTAAGGACTGTGTCCTCTCATCCTTCACTACGAGGATCGGCTTCACTCGCTCGTCCTCCACACCGCCCCGTGACATGAACGTGTAGTCCATTGCCACTGTGGGCACAAGGCTCTTGGCCTTCTCTTCCTCGGACCTCGTCCGATGTGGCTGTCCTACGGCCCGTCCAGCAATGCAATGCCGGCACCAACTTCGATATTGCACATGGCCTGTCGCCTCGTGCTCTTCGATCTCAGCCGGAGTTGGGTCCTCCGGTGCTCTTATCTGGATGGGTTTCTCAACCTCATCAACTAATTCCAACTCATCATCCTCTTCTCGCCCCTCTGGACCAGGTCGGCCTGAATCCATAGAGGCATCTCCTCTCTCTCCCGTGGCGTTCAACTCTGCGATGCCACAGCATTCCTTTGTCGGTTTATACCCTGGCTTCCTCAAGTAGAAGTTGTAAACTCCCTGCTCCTGATATACAGGGATCCAACTCCGCTGCTCTGCAGCGTTCGCTTTCTCCAGGATTGCCTGGACAGCCTTTCCAACTTTGGACCCTTGCGGAATCAAGTTTCCGCCATTTGCATCAAGAACTGCAATCCTTCCAAAGCCTAAGCACTTGGATGCTGAAATCAATGGCTTGTGAACATCAGCCATTGAACCTTTCACGCGGCATTTGTTGCCGCTCTCATCGAACCCTTCAAAGGTTCCAATGCCCTGACTGGGCACCAACTCTCCTGATGCAGTCTTGAACACAACTCCGTTGCCTTCACTGACAACCACTCGATCCTCCCAGCCATTCGGGATGGCTGTCTGGGCTGCTCCAGTGTCCAGGTTAAACTTCATCCATTCTTCGGCGGATGAGGTATCCGCCATTCCAATTCCACTCAAATCTGCCATGAGCATGCCGACATCGGCTTCCGGAGCTGGCTCAATGCCATCATCCGGTTCGTCCATCTCTTCCATACTTCCTGCAGCTTTGCCTTTGCCGCTTCGTCCACCTTTGCCTTTATTGCCTTTGCCACCTTTACCACTCTTGTCTCCTTTGCCTGAACCTGACCACTTATCGCCTTTTCCATCCGGCCGTTTCTTGCTCCAGCAATCGGCCGCTCGGTGTCCTTTCTTACCGCAATTGTAGCAGGTAATATCTTGAGCCGGGTTTGAGCCTTTACTTGAACCCCCTTTGCTTGAGCCTTTCTTCCCATCACCTTTGGCCTGTTTACCTTTTCCTTTACCTTTTCCTTTGACCAGGCTTGCGATCCATTGTCCGATCGAATCGACGTCCATGGGTTGAGGTCCTTGGTAACTCGAACTTGATGAACCTGGTTTTGGAACAGATGACTTTGATGTGAGGGATGTTTCAATGACAAGTTCAATCTCTTGCTTGATCAACGAATAGGTTGTCAATCTACTCTTGTTCAACAAAAGATGTTTCTCCAAATCTTGGGGTACCAGCATCTCCAATGAAGCGGACTTGATGTCGTCCGATAGAGTCTCCCTGGTCCCTGCGGCACTCCTTCGAGACTCGTACCTCCTGATGAGCTCTTCGAGCTGTTCGATCGCTGGCCTCACCGCGGCCCACGTCTTGACTCGCTCCGGTTGGAGAATCGCTCGAAGTATATTGCGTTTCCGTCCCGAGGTTCGGGGATCCCAACGGCGGTGAACTCGCCGATATGCTTCGAACCCGTTTGAAGCTCCTACCATCAAATCTTCTGTTTCCCCTGAGGTTAGGGTCAGGAGCACGCGATGAATCTGATCAGCTTTATCCTCTAGATCATCTATGGCTGCTATGGTTCCAGTCCCAAATGCGGACTCCATAGCACTCAATTCAATCGCGTCTTCCTGCTCCAAAATATACTCCAGGACTTCAATGAACTCTCTCCCAAAAGTAGTTATGAACAGGTTATCAATGCTCCTGGCCCATTTTCGAAAATCCCCTCCAACATTCCCAAAACTCTCGGGCCGTCCCAACCCTTTGGTGTCCATGAGGATTTGGGACTTTCTCCTATCATCCTTCTTCTCGAGGCTTTTAGCCAATTCTCCTACAGCTGAAGCTAGCATTGATACCCCACCTTGAGACTCCCTCAACACTTGATTCTCTTGCTCCAACCTTGCTTGGTTCTGTTGGAGTTGAAGTACCATTTCACTCAGTTGTTGGATCTGTTGTTCCATGGTTTCCTACCCTCAACCCCTGCTGCTGCTGCCGCTCACTCCTTTTCCAGCGGCAGTCGCGGGCGGTTCGCCCGGTCAAGGATCGGAAGGTTTTGGCACTCCGCGGACTTCAACAGTAGTCCAGTTGTGGCCTTCGCTTCAGCCGCTACTTTTGGCGCGGCGGATGGTTTGGCCTTTCCTTTTGGTCCGGCCTTTGATTTGGCCTTCACTTTCGGCCCAGGTGTCAGGCTCAACGCTGGCGCCGCTTTGGACTTGGCGCTCGATCCAAGAACGGCAGGTCCCTTAAGTCCTCGCCGTTTGATGTAGTCCTTCACCACCGGCAGCTGTGCCTGCCGCCGTTCGTCACAAGAACTACAAGCCTCGTTGGATCCTCTTTTTCCTTGTTCGTTGGGGGTCTTCCACAATTCGCGAATGGCGGCCAATGCAACGGTGCCCTTGAGATTCCGTTGCTCGCAAAGTTCGTCGGCCGCAAACTTTCGCACTTGGAACGGGCTCTCTAATTTCCAATTTTCTATCGTCAATCGCTGGGCCCGTTCGTTGGCTAGGGCGACGATGCGGAGGTTCAACTCCAGTGCACGCCCCCAGACCGCCCGTCCCCGCTGGGTGTCGCGGGTTTGCGGTCGCTTAGCCGGCGGTGGCCCGTCCGGTGTTCGAGGCTGTCGAACCGGACTTGGCTGGCTCACCGACTCTTCTTCTTCGACCTCCTCCTCCTCGGCTGGATCAGCCGCTTCTGAGGTCTTCCTTTTCTTGGTCCGCTTCTCTTGATTGCGGATCCTCTGCTCTTCCCGCTCTTCTTTGATCTCTTGTGGAGTGCGCCCTTTTCCGAACTCTTTGATGCGCCTCCTCAAGTCCTCTGTGATGACACCCTTCTTCTTCTGCAACCTGACCAGGTCTTTGAGCCTCCGGTATTGAAGCGAGGTCTTGCTTCGAAGTCGAAATCCGGATTGTGGCTCTGGATGCTTCTTGACCTGTCCCCAAATGTTCTTCTTCACCCTCCAAGGTGCCTTAGGATCAACTTTGGCTGGGGTATATTTGGCGTGAATGCCACGGACCTCCCAACCTGTTTTGACACCTTCTGGGGAGGTTTGGAAATCGGCGATCACTCGGCCAGATGAGGATGGCTGCGCGACTGGATCAGTCGCTTCAGCCTCTGGCTCTACTATGGGGTCTTGCTCAGGCTTTTCTTCTTCTCCTCCTTCTTTCTCTTTTGTGGTCTTTTCTTCTTCCTCTTTTGTTTCCGCGGTTCCTTCGACCGCTGATGTTGTTTCGGCAGTTCCTACAACCGCCGGAGTGGTGTTTGCGGCTGGTTCCGCCGCTGATGTGGCTGGCAAAGGCTCCTCCTCCTTCTCTTCTTTTCCACTCGGGGCGGCCGAAGCGGCCGCTCCCGGGATCTCTTGATCCTCCTCCTCAGAGGTCTCTACCTTACTGTGTCTCTCTTCCTTGATGCGCAGCGCTTTGTCCCTTTCGCTCTCACCGGGCTCACGCGCTACCATGAAAACGAGGTTTCGACGTTACGGAACGCCTTTTTCCCTTGAGCCAAAACACGTCAAGAGTCACGTGTCTGCAGTACCCTAGCGGAGTATATATGGGCTGTACATACAAACATACTGTATATGTATGTATATATATACAAACACTCCGTGGGTCTCATTGGAATTATCATGGAAGTGGATGGCATCACCGGTTTGTAGAGGAGAATGGTCATCCAAGGGACCATACCATCCGCTTCCATGATAACTCCATGGAGTGTACAGTATACATATTGGCGACAACCACGAGAAAATGCGTGAGGTGTTTCTACTCCTCCACCCCAGAAAGTTGCAATCCTAGGGTCTGAAGAGCTGTCCAAAGTGCTGGACAAGAACACAGAACAAGAGGCACGAACCAAAAACACATTGGAGATGGACTCGGACATCCCGATCAAACCTCTCAACATGAAGATATAAATATTAATGTATCCATAGCTTTGGAGTCTTTGGAGTCTTCAAACCTGGCTTTGGAGTCTTCAAACCTGCAAGCTGACCCTCTCACTCTGGAGTCTAAGCACCACCTTGTAAAAATTTCCCTCTGAACAGACTGAACGAAATGGTTTACTTGCCAGAAGCTTGCTCTAGAGAGTGAGAGAGTGGGACAGCTTCCCACACTTCATAGAAGAATCTTAGATTAATTCTCAGGATGCACAGTTTAAAAAAAATACCGATACCCAATCCGAATACCTAGAACATTTTGACATGCCTGGGCCTTTACGTATTTCACCTTTGCGAAGACTAAGCCAAGAGCATTTGGGGTTTGGAATGGGTTTTCCCTCTTCTCCTCCATCCAGGGGATTGCTGGAATACAGTATTATGTGCTTTGCTGTCATGGTGCGAGCTGCCCACGGTGCGAGCTGAAGCCGAAGCCGTTCGCTTCGTTCCCTTCGCCCGACTCGACCCAAACTCCCTAGGTGACGCCACCCAAGCCATTGCAGCGAATGGGAATGGATTTGAGCACCAACCTCAGTTCAACACGATGTGTGGGGTGACTTTGGATTTTTTTGGGTATCGGGTACCTGGTCCTTCAAGGCAGTGAAAGAACCAAAGTAACCCTTGTAACAGTGACCTCAAAGAAAGGACATCAGGAGGACACTTTGAAACATCTGGAATGATATTCAGTCATGAGTCATGATATTCAATCCCACTTCCTTCAAAGCTTTACGATTGTCAACCTTCTTCAGCCATTTTTTGCGCAGCACCTGTCAGCCTGAGTGCTTACAAAAGGATCAAATTGAAATTGTTGACCACATGGAGTGTGTGGTTTCAAGCAGTTCCTGGGGCGCAAGGAATGGTGCGATCCCCACTTGGGTGATCTCAGCGATTTTCCAAAGGTTCCCTTCGCCTCGAAACATGTTTGGCATGCTATGTTGCCCTAACCAATGTCTTCAGGCATAGCTGCATGCTCATGTGTTTCTTCATGTCAAGAGTCAATGACCGGCAATCTGATCTGTCATCAACTAAGATTAATTAATATTAATTAAATACCCTGGTTGTGTATGCCTGCAGCATATATTCATCACCTACCCTCTGCTGAGATGCGTGATGTGGATGTGAAGCCATGCTACCTTCTGGGAAGGGTCCAAGTACCCTCTCCAAGGATATACGAACCCGTCTGGACGCTAAACATTGTCGAACATGCTCGGAGCCCGACCCCGGAATGCGTAGATTCGCATCAAAGGTAGCTCTAGTATGGTCCTGACAAGGAGGCTCTGGAAGAACAAGTGCTCTTCCATGCTCCACTCTTCCACTCTTCATGCTGGAGACTCCACTGTCAGCTGGCGAACACATCCCGATTTCTACAAATACGGTCGGAGTTGAAGTCCTCAAAGGAGCCTAACCACTGCCGCATGCATCAGTCCAGTCACGTGGGTGCCACCTGAAATAATCCGTGTCCATATGTGAATGCGATGAACGTCCAGGACAAATACCAGATTGTCCAAACTTATTATGGCAATGGGGACCCATCTTCCTCTAAGATCTCATGGGCCCCGGATATACCAGCGTTATCTCAGAATAAAGGAGATCCCCTCAAAGTAGCTGGTGCATTGAATGCTCCTAAAACGTAGGGCAGTTCTTCGTGTTTGGAGACAAGTCCATCGGTAAGCCCAGCTCCTGCAAGGAGATGCCCCAGTAGTTGGTGGCACTGGGCGGACGTGGGGACGTCGGGAAACGGCCAAAATGAAGGTACCTGGACCCAACATGGTACCTTAGTGGCCACTAGTTTTTTCGTCCTGGAATAGGTCTTTGAGACTGCGGGCACATTGAGACTGATGGTTCTCTCCAGTCAAAGAAAAAAATGCACCTGACTCATCTTGATCCCATCAATGAACGTATGCTGGCTCAACTCTTGGCCACTGTGCAGTCTTCGGCCCTTCGGAGTCAAGAATTGTGGGGAAAAACTGCCGGGCCGAGTACGAACCCTGAAGGCAGTGCACTGCAAAGGTGGTCGAACCAACAACTTCAATTAGGGAGCACTCTGACCGGTGGGACGCCTGTGACTGCCAGTTCCTTGTATTTTGCTTGCGAAAAGAATTGGAGAACCCTTGAATCGACCAGGTCAGCCCATGTGCTGAGCATGGTGTCACATAATTTGGTTGAAACACTTTTTGCATCTCTTTGCCATGATTTCACAATGCCCAAACTGTCATCAACTGTATATAGGTGTCCGATGTGCGGAACAAAAGGAACAGTGCAATCAGAAGACGGTGAATGATACTTCTTTGCAGCTTTCTGCAGGATGATCCAGGGTGCGGTCGTATGCACCCTCCACCCAGACCTTTTCTACTCTTGTGTCTGATCAAAAAGCCTCCCAGGCAAACTCCAAACCAGATATGCTAGGATCTTCACAAAAGAAACACATTTATCCGTGAATTGATTTTTGGAGAGCCCATCAACACCCTCCAAGCAAACATGTGCCCAAGTTTAGCTGACGTTTCATAAAACAGACCACAACCAAATTCCAAAAACATTTCAGTAGTGCTCTTCCAAGAGGAAACATCTACAACATGTCCAGCTTCCCCAATTCTTGCAGGAACCGAAGGACTGCAGCAAAAACCTGAGCTGCGCTCCCACCCATCCCTCCGAGCTCCCAACTCTGGTGGTCGGCCACCGGGGTTCAAGACACGCACGCCCACCGTGTAGGCCTTCGAAGCCACACCAACCACAACACGCAAAACAATATCCGGGCAGTACTAGAAAAAATGACGACGATGTGACGATGCGATGAAGCAATACGGACCAGGGTGGATTCAAACCACCAAAGTCAGTGTGCAACTCTTTGCAGAAGCAAAGAAAGACAACGCCTTCTCCAGCGGGCAGCTGGTCCAGTGATAAAAAAGAAAACCGCCTCCACTTCGTCGACCCAAGGAGCGAGGCCAAAAGCCACACACCTGGAGGCCTGGCCCGCCCAACCCTTTCGACGGGCCCAAAATAAGGATGACCTCACCCCCAAAGCGGCCTCAGCCTCGTGACCCGCGCGTGCCAATCCTGGATATGTTGGGGCCGCTCCCCACTCGCTTATGCATCTCTGCCCCGCCTTCCCTGCTTCCAGGCTGGCATTGCTGAAGCGCAAGCTCAGCGGCTCGTTCACCGCGCCCGACCTCGTTCGCGGAGCGAGCGGTCACCGACCGAACTTCTGCGGAGTGATGGATTTCGGATGGGAGGAGAGGACTCACTCGTTGAGGAAAATTAACAGATTGAACATGATTCAACCAGGCCCCGGGTTTGGACCCACAGCCACATGATTTTCAGTGCGGGACCCCAAGAACAAGACCCAGTGGGAATATATGTTAAACATATTCTAAAATGATGAACATCGATTTTTCCATGTCACCTACCTACTCTTTGGTCCAGTGCACAGCTCTCTTCAATCTCAGACGGACCTTTTGAACCTCATTGCTGCCGGGCCGTTTCTGCCGCATGGGAAAAAGCCACCCGGCCGTGGTCGCCAGAAGCCTTTTAAGCCGTTCTTTTGCACGACAGTCGCACGCGCGGACGCGAATGGAGTGCATGTGAAAAAGGAACACTTGTTATGCCCTAGAGCTGAGTCGAATGGAATTTTGAGGATGGGTTCTTAAAGGGAGATGGTTCAAACATGTTCAAACAGCGTTCGAGCAGTTCTTGAGTCTTAGGCCCCAAACACCCGAAAAATAATCCATTGGTTGTAATTACAACAGACCTTAAACCGTCTCCTAAACTATCAGGTATAGTACTGTGCTGTATTTTGGAAGATATTAAGGCAATTTATTGAATGGAAGATCCACTTTTCGAGGAAAATCCAGGCAACAGCAAATGGAAGAAATACCCTGTA